GCAAATGCCAAAATCCTTCAAAAACCAAGGGAAAATCAATGATTTTGGCCTCTTCGGACTCTCCTGGAGGACCTCTTGGAGGCCTCTTGGGCCGTCTGGGAGGCCTCTGGGGGGCCTCTTGGGCCGTCTTGGGCCGTCTTGGACTCTCTTGGGCCGTTTTGGAGGCCGTCTTGGACCATCTCGGGCGGACTTGGAGGCCATCTTGGGCCATCTTCGCGATTTTTTGAGGATGTCCCGAGCGAAACGGCCGTTTTTGGGCATTGAGAGATGGGTTTTCGGCAATTTGCGGGTGGCCGGCGGGACGGGCCGAAGCCCACTGGGGAGTTCTTTTAGAAAAAGAACCAAAACAAAACCTGAATCATCCAGCACGCCGTGCACCCCTGCAAGCAGGGGGCGGCGGATCGAAGACGCCTACGGCGAATCACCGCCGCCCCCTGCCTTTTTGGAAGCGCCTATGTGGCCGAACGTTGAGGCCAGACCTGCCAAGCTATCGGACCACGTGTTCCCCGAATCGGTTTGGAAAGCCTTCGGGGAACACGTGGGCATCTTGAAGGTCATCTTGGCCGTCTTGGAGGCCTCTTGGGCAAGCTTTGGGCGATCTTTGGGGCTTTTTGGGCCGTCTCGGGCCAGCTTCGAGCCAACTTCGGCCATCTTGGTGGGTTCCTGGCACGTCTGAAGCCGTCGGAAGCCGTTTGGGGGGCCTCTATGGGCCGACTTGGGGCCCGCTTGGAATGCTCCAGGGCCGTCTTGGAGGCCATCTTGGGCGTCTGGGAGGCCATCTTGGGCGTGTTGGAGGCCTCTTGGGCCCTCTTGGGGCCCTCTAGGGGCCATCTTGGAGGCCACTTGGGCCATCATGGGGCTCTCTTGGGGGCCTCTTGGGCGATCTTGGGGGCTTCTTGGGCCGTCTCGAGCCGTCGGAGAGCCGAAAAGGCGCAAATGCCAGAATCCTTCAAAAACCAAGGAAAAATCAATGATTTTGGCCTCTTCGGACTCTCCTGGAGGACCTCTTGGAGGCCTCTTGGGCCGTCTGGGAGGCCTCTGGGGGGCCTCTTGGGCCGTCTTGGGCCGTCTTGGACTCTCTTGGGCCGTTTTGGAGGCCGTCTTGGACCATCTCGGGCGGACTTGGAGGCCATCTTGGGCCATCTTCGCGATTTTTTGAGGATGTCCCGAGCGAAACGGCCGTTTTTTGGAGGATTTTTTCCGGTCGTTGAGCACGTTTGGGGGCCTTCCGGGTGGCCGGCGGGTTCTGCCGGAGCCCACTGGGGAGTTCTTTTGGAAAAAGAACCAAAACCAAAACCTGAAACATCCAGCACGCCGTGCACCCCTGCAAGCAGGGGGCGGCGGATCGAAGACGCCTACGGCGAATCACCGCCGCCCCCTGCCTTTGTGGAAGCGCCTATGTGGCCGAACGTTGAGGCCAGACCTGCCAAGCCATCGGACCATGTGTTCCCCGAATCGGTTTGGAAAGCCTTCGGGGAACACGTGGGCGTCTTGATGGTCATCGTCGCCGTCTTGGAGGCCTCTTGGGCGATCTTTCGGCGATCTTTGGGGGCTCTTGGGCCGTCTCGGGCCGTCGGAAGGCCGAAAAAAGGGAAATGCCCAAATCCATCAAAAACCTTGGGAAAATCAGTGATTTTGGCATCTTTTGGCCTTCCTGGAGGCCCTCTTGGGGGCCTCTTGGGCCCTTTTGGGCCAGCTTCGAGCCAACTTCGGCCATCTTGGTGGGTTCCTGGCACGTCTGACGCCGTCGGGAGCCGTTTTGGGGGCCTTTCTGGGCCAACGGGGGACCCTCTTGGGGCGCTCCAGGGCCGTCTTGGAGGCCATCTTGGGCGTCTTGGAGGCCATCTTGGGCGTGTTGGAGGCCTCTTGGGCCGTCTTGGGGCCCTCTAGGGGCCATCTTGGAGGCCACTTGGGCCATCAGGGGGCTCTCTTGGGGGCCTCTTGGGCGATCTTGGGGGCTTCTTGGGCCGTCTTGAGCCGTCGGAGAGCCGAAAAGGCGCAAATGCCAAAATCCTTCAAAAACCAAGGGAAAATCAATGATTTTGGCCTCTTCGGACTCTCCTGGAGGACCTCTTGGAGGCCTCTTGGGCCGTCTGGGAGGCCTCTGGGGGGCCTCTTGGGCCGTCTTGGGCCGTCTTGGACTCTCTTGGGCCGTTTTGGAGGCCGTCTTGGACCATCTCGGGCGGACTTGGAGGCCATCTTGGGCCATCTTCGCGATTTTTTGAGGATGTCCCGAGCGAAACGGCCGTTCTTGGAGGATTTTTTGCGGTCGTTGAGCACGTTTGGGGAAATTCCGGGTGGCCGGCGGGTTCTGCCGGAGCCCACTGGGAAGTTCTTTTGGAAAAAGAACCAAAACCAAAACCTGAAACGTCCAGCACGCCGTGCACCCCTGCAAGCAGGGGGCGGCGGATCTAGTGGCCTTCGGCCCATCCCGCCACCGTGCCTAGGCTGTAAGTTAGAGGCCTCTTGGAAACCTGTGGGGACCTCTTGGATAGTTTTTGGGAAGCCTCTTGGATGCGGTTTTGGAAATGTATCGGGGCCTCTCGGGGCCTCTCGGGGCCTCTTGGGGGTCTCCTAGGGCCTGATTTGGCCCTCTCGGGTGCCTTCAGGTGGCTTCTGGGGGGTGCGTTTAGGGCCTGATGGCGGTCTCGGGTGTCACCTTGGGCCTGAGAGCGCGAAATGTCATTTCGAGGTTCCCCCTCTTGGGACTCTCTGGGGACCTTTGTGGGGCCCACTCGGGGGTTCGTCTTGGGCCGGCTGCGGGACCTCTAAGGTCGTAGTGGGCTCCTTTTGGGCCGTCTGGAGTTGGAGGCCTCTAGGGTTGTCTTGGGGTGATCTTGGAGGCGTCTTGGACCGTCTTGGAGCGTCGGAAGCCCGAAGCAGCGGGAATGCCAAATTTCTTTAAACACCGTAAGACAATCAATAGTTTCGGCCTGTTGGGGCCCTCGTGAGAGTTCTCTTGGATGCTTCTAGGAGGTCCTGAGGGCTTCTGAGGCCGTCTTGAGGCCATTGTGGGCCGTCTTGGAGCGATGTAGAGCCATCTCGAGGCTCTCTTGGACCCTTTTGGGGCTTTCTTGGGTCGTCTTGAGGTCCTCTGAGGTCGTCTTGGGGTCGTCTGGGGCCTTTTTTCCGCTTGCGGCTGGGGGGGTCTGCGAGGGACGCCGACTGAGTAGCAGCCCACTGGGGGGACTCCATGGAGGTTTAGGGAGGTTTTGACGAGGCCCTGGCGAATCCTGCCAAGCACTTTGGCAGAGTGGTCTCGCACGGCCCACACCGCAGCCAGGAGCGGCCGGATCTGAAGGGCTGCGCCCTCTGACGCTAGACTCCTAGGCTGAGCCATCTTGTGGCTATGTTGGGGCATTTGGGGCCATTTTCGGCCATCATGTGGCCTGTCGTCGGCATCTTAGTGCATCTGGGGCCATCTTCGGGCCCTCTTGGGCAGCCTCTGGGCAACAGTCAACCAGTCAACCCGAATAGTAAGGATGGGCAACCTTTGCAAGGGTACCCTTGTATCTTGACCTCCTTGGTCCATCCTTGGGTAGTTTCGTTGGTCGCGCCTCGCTCGAAAAGCTTCGAAATGGGCGTCCAAGGCCCTTGCATCTTTATCGCGCTTCCTTACGACACGGGCCGACTGTATCTTGAGACCCCTGGACCCCATCATGAGGGCGTCTTGGGGCAATCTTGGGGCCTTGTTGGGCCATCTTGAGCGATTTGAGAGGCACCTTGGGGCCTTTTGGGGCCACCTCGGGGCCGTCGTGGGCAATACATCGTGGGCTCTAGAGACAGTCTCGAAGTGATCTTTGGACATCTTGGGAGCAAAAACTGGGACATGCTAGAAGTATTGAAGCCACTATGGTTTTCAATGTTTTCGACCCTCTCGGGGGCGTCTTTTGGCCCTCCAGAGGCATCTTGAAGTCATCTTTGGCCGTCTTGGGCTCTTGAAACCATGTTCGGAACATCCTGGGGCTGTCCTAGAGGCCTCTTGAGGCGTCCTGGCCGTGCGGTGGCGTCCAAAGTGAATCCTGGGGCAACCTAGACCGGTTATGCATTTGAGACCCCCCTCCGTTTTGTTTTGATGGCCAGAGTCCCCTAACATGGAGACAGTACAGTATTGGACAGACAAGCGACAAAGCACACAAGACGGCACACACAGCACAAGACAGCAGCCCACCAGAATGTTTGACAACCTAGCGCCCACAAGGGGGTCCGACGGCTTCTCGCGCGCATTTGTGTTTCAAGTCGCGCTGTCTAGTTGTAACCATTTGCCATATTCTATCGTTCATGCTCCCTCAGTTACTTGCCAAGTTCGGTTGACAGGTATCGCACTCAGCCAGAGCTGCAGCCGAGCTGGTAATATTCCAAGGTGCTCTGTGGCTATCAGGCTGCGGCATTCATGTTCAATGCAGTTTTTGGTTGACACTCGCCGAGGTGTTACTTGAATTGCCGAATCTGGCTTATCGACAAAAGGACGGGGTATTCTCGTCCAACGTGGCGGTCACCCGTCTCCTCCTCCTCCTCCTCCTCCTCCTCCTCCTCCTCCTCTCTTTCCTCTTCCTACTCCTGCTTGATTCTCCCTCATATTGTTTCTCGTCCTCCTGCTCTTGCTCCTCCTCCTCCTCCTCCTCCTCCTCCTCCTTGCGCTCCTGCTCCTGCTCTGCCGCTTCGGCTCCTGCTTCTGCTCCTGATCCTACTCCTGCGCATTCCCTGCTGCTGATCCTCCTCCCTCTCGTCCTAGTCTTCGCGTCTTCGTCATCGTCGTCGTCGTCGTCGTCGTCGTCCTCCGCCTCCTCCTCCTCATCCTCCTCCTCTTCCTCCTCCTCCTCCTCCTTCTACTCACCCTCACCCCCACCTGCACCCTCAAGCTGTTCCTCCGCCTTGTCCTCCCTCTCCTCTCCCTCATCTCTCAGCTGCTGCTGCTGCTGCTGCTGCTGCCGCTGCTGCTCCTCCTCCTCCTCCTCCTCCTCCTCCTCCTCCTCGTCCTCTCCCTCGCGGCGGGACAGGTGCTCGAGGCCGTTGCTTTCCTGCATTCGAAGGGAGTCATGCATCGCGACATGAAGCCCGAGAACGTCCTGCTGGTGAGCAGGGACCGCGGTGCCCGCATTTCCCCTCCCTCTCCCCCACCCGCTCGCCCCCCCCCCCCCCCCCCCCTCTCACTCCCCTTGCTCCCCATCCACCCTGCCCCTTCCTTTTCTCGCCTCTCGCATCGCACTGAGGAGATTGGTTGTCCATCTCGACGTTCAGGAGCTAATGGTGGGTCTCGCGGCCCTGGACGTTGAGGCCACATCCATGCAACTCCTGGCTCTTGCATGGGAGGCGCCGCGTGCCGCTGGTCTCAATTTTGACCTCAAGCCTCCTCTGCCGGTGGACGGAGGTTTTCATTGGCATGTCGGGTTCCTCCGTCTGCACGCGCCTCGCGTGCCTGACTGCTCTCCCTCTCGTCTCCGTCTCGCCTTTGGGAGCGCATCCTCGCCTCGGAGGACGGACAACCCTTCCTCCTTCCACTCTGCTGCTCACTCTGCTGCTCTGCTGCTGCTACTGCTGCTGCTGCTGCTGCTGCTGCTGCGCCCTCCTCCTCCTCCTCCTCCTCCTCCTCCTCTCCTCCTCCTCCTCCTCCTGCCCCCCTCCCTCCCTCTTCTCCTCCCTCCTCTCCTCCCTCTTGTTCAGGGGGGAGAAGAAGAGGGCGTCAAGCGTGCGCGCCAGAAGCAGCAGGGCTCGGGAGAAGGGCAGCCTGCAGGCAGGGAGAGGTGGCGAGGGGAGCGAGGGGAGGGAAGGGAGGAGGGAGGAGGTGGCAGGGGGAGGTGGGGAGTGGGAGGTGGACGTGTGGGGGGGTGGGGAGGACTGGGGGAGAGAGAGGAGGGGAAAGAGGGGGCCTCTGGTGAAGACAGGCGGGGCGGGGAAGGCGTTCCAGCGAGCCCACTGGAGCTGCTCGCGCGCGGCGCGCGCCGCTCCGCCCGCCCGGCACAGACAGTTTTAGACCCCCGGCGTCTCTCCGGGCGCGCGGGCGGGGGGCACAACGGCCACGGCGGGCGCCTCGCTCGGGGCTCGGGGGGCGGGGGGGGGGGGGCTCCGCGGTGGCTCGTGCTCTTGACCCGTCCTGCTGCGCTGCGCCTTCGGTGGGCCCCGGCCGTCGCGTGCGCTTCGGCGTGTCTTCCGCAGTCCACCCGCACAGGCAGGAGGGGGCACCTCCCCCAGGGTAGTTGCCCCTGCATCCTTGCCTCCTCGGCCCACCCTTGGCTCATGTCGGACGTGTCCCCCTACAGAGGGATTTTCGACGAGAAACAAAATTATCCCGGCAAAGCAACCTAACAGCGATGTGTAGGAGCATATTTGGAAGCAGTCCCCTTAAGATTCAGATGAGAATCCAGTTGTAGAATTCTGCTGTTCTCGCAGTCGCAGTCGCATTCGCGATGACAGTCGCAGTGGCAACGGCAGTCGCAGTCACAGCCTCAGCCTCAGCCTGCCTCAGCCTCAGCCTCAGCCTGCCTCAGCCTCAGCCTGCCTCAGCCTCAGCCTCAGCCTGCTTAGCCTCAGCCTCAGTCTGCCTTCAGCCTCGGCCTCAGCCTCAGCCTGCCTCAGCCTCAGCCTGCATCAGCCTCAGCCTCAGCCTCAGCCTGCCTCAGCATCAGCCTGCCTCAGCCTCAGCCTCAGCCTGCCTCAGCCTCAGCCTCAGCCTGCTTCAGCCTCAGCCTCAGTCTGCCTTCAGCCTCGGCCTCAGCCTCAGCCTCAGCCCTGCCTCAGCCTCAGCCTCAGCCAGCCTCAGCCTCAGCCTGCCTCAGCCTCAGCCTCAGCCCTCAGCCTCAGCCTCAGCCTGCTTCAGCCTCAGCCTCAGCCTTCATCAGCCTCAGCCTGCTCAGCCTCAGCCTGCATCAGCCTCAGCCTCGGCCTCAGCCTGCCTCAGCCTCAGTCTGCCTCAGCCTCAGCCTCAGCCTGCCTCAGCCTCAGCCTCAGCCTGCTTCAGCCTCAGCCTCAGTCTGCCTTCAGCCTCGGCCTCAGCCTCAGCCTGCCTCAGCCTCAGCCTGCATCAGCCTCAGCCTCAGCCTCAGCCTGCCTCAGCCTCAGCCTCAGCCTGCCTCAGCCTCAGCCTCAGCCTGCCTCAGCCTCAGCCTCAGTCTGCCTTCAGCCTCGGCCTCAGCCTCAGCCTGCCTCAGCCTCAGCCTGCATCAGCCTCAGCCTCAGCCTCAGCCTGCCTCAGCATCAGCCTGCCTCAGCCTCAGCCTCAGCCTGCCTCAGCCTCAGCCTCAGCTGCTTCAGCCTCAGCCTCCTGCTTCAGCCTCGGCAGCTCAGTCTGCCTTCAGCCTCAGCCTCAGCAGCCTCAGCCTCAGCCTCAGCCTGCCTCAGCCTCAGCCTCAGCCTGCCTCAGCCTCAGCCTGCCTCAGCCTCAGCCTCAGCCTGCTTCAGCCTCAGCCTCAGTCTGCCTTCAGCCTCGGCCTCAGCCTCAGCCTGCCTCAGCCTCAGCCTGCATCAGCCTCAGCCTCAGCCTCAGCCTGCCTCAGCATCAGCCTGCCTCAGCCTCAGCCTCAGCCTGCCTCAGCCTCAGCCTCAGCCTGCTTCAGCCTCAGCCTCAGTCTGCCTTCAGCCTCAGCCTCAGCCTCAGCCTGCCTCAGCCTCAGCCTGCATCAGCCTCAGCCTCCATCTGCCTTCAGCCTCAGCCTGCCTCAGCATCAGCCTGCCTCAGCCTGAGCCTTAGCCTGCCTCAGCCTCAGCCTCAGCCTGCTTCAGCCTCAGCCTCAATCTGCCTTCGCCTCGGCCTCAGCCTCAGCCTGCCTCAGCCTCAGCCTGCATCAGCCTCAGCCTCAGCCTCAGCCTCCTCAGCATCAGCCTGCCTCAGCATCAGCCTGCCTCAGCCTCAGCCTCAGGCCTGCCTCAGCCTCAGCCTCAGCCTGCTTCAGCCTCAGCCTCAGTCTGCCTTCAGCCTCGGCCTCAGCCTCAGCCTGCCTCAGCCTCAGCCTGCATCAGCCTCAGCCTCAGCCTCAGCCTGCCTCAGCATCAGCCTGCCTCAGCCTCAGCCTCAGCCTCAGCCTCAGCCTGCCTCAGCCTCAGACTCAGCCTGCTTCAGCCTCAGCCTCAGTCTGCCTTCAGCCTCGGCCTCAGCCTCAGCCTGCCTCAGCCTCAGCCTGCATCAGCCTCAGCCTCAGCCTCAGCCTCCTGCCTCAGCATCAGCCTGCCTCAGCCTCAGCCTCAGCCTGCCTCAGCCTCAGCCTCAGCCTGCTTCAGCCTCAAATCAGTCTGCCTTCAGCCTCGGCCTCAGCCTGCCTCAGCCTCAGCCTGCATCAGCCTCAGCCTCAGCCTCAGCCTGCCTCAGCATCAGCCTGCCTCAGCCTCAGCCTCAGCCTGCCTCAGCCTCAGCCTCAGCCTGCTTCAGCCTCAGCCTCAGTCTGCCTTCAGCCTCGGCCTCAGCCTCAGCCTGCCTCAGCCTCAGCCTGCCTCGGCCTCAGCATCAGCCTGCCTCAGCATTCAAAATGTGGCCCGGGAATGGAGTTCTGGGAATCGAAGAACACGAAGTGGCCTACAGTTGGCTCCGGGCATTCAAAATCATGCCCAGGAATGGAGTTCTGGGAACTCGAAGACCACGAAGTGGCCTACAGTTGGCTCCGGGCATTCAAAATCATGGCCCGGGAATGGAGTTCTGGGAACTCGAAGACCACGAAGTGGCCTACAGTTGGCTCCGGGCATTCAAAATCATGCCCAGGAATGGAGTTCTGGGAATTCGAACACCACGAAGTGGCCTACAGTTGGCTCCGGGCATTCAAAATCATGCCCAGGAATGGAGTTCTGGGACCCCGAAGACCACGAAGTGCGTAACTGTTTGCTTTAAACGACTTCCGCGGATTCTCCCCGGATCCTGCCCGGACCCCCCTGGGATTCATGATGCTCTCCTTTGAGACCACTAGAAACCTATCAGTCTTCGCTGTTAGGTAAAATACCCCAACAATACCCCAGAAAGGCCAAAACAAAAAACCCAAACTATTCCGGCAAAGCAACCTAACAGCGATGTGTAGGAGCATATCTGGAAGCATTCCCCTTAAGATTCAGATGAGAATCCTGTTGTAGCATTCTGCTGTTCTCGCAGTCGTAGTCGCATTCGCGATGACAGTCGCAGTGGCAACGGCAGTCGCAGTCACAGCCTCAGCCTCAGCCTGCCTCAGCCTCAGCCTGCCTCAGCCTCAGCCTGCCTCAGCCTCAGCCTCAGCCTGCTTCAGCCTCAGCAGTCTGCCTTCAGCCTCGGCCTCAGCCTCAGCCTGCCTCAGCCTCAGCCTGCATCAGCCTCAGCCTCAGCCTCAGCCTGCCTCAGCATCCGCCTGCCTCAGCCTCAGCCTCAGCCTGCCTCAGCCTCAGCCTGCCTCAGCCTCAGCCTGCCTCAGCCTCAGCCTCAGCCTGCCTCAGCCTCAGCCTCAGCCTGCTTCAGCCTCAGCATCAGCCTCCGCCTGCCTCAGCCTCAGCCTGCATGAGCCTCAGCCTCAGCCTCAGCCTGCCTCAGCATCAGCCTGCCTCAGCCTCAGCCTCAGCCTGCTTCAGCCTCAGCCTCGTCTGCCTTCAGGCCCGCCTCAGCCTCAGCCTTGCCTCACGCCCTCAGCCTGCATCGCCTCATCCTCAGCCCTCAGCCTCCTCAGCCTCAGCCTCAGCCTGCCTCAGCCTCAGCCTGCCTCTGCCTCAGCCTCAGCCTGCTTCAGCCTCAGCCTCAGTCTGCCTTCAGCCTCGGCCTCAGCCTCCGCCTGCCTCAGCCTCAGCCTGCATGAGCCTCAGCCTCAGGCTCAGCCTGCCTCAGCCTCAGCCTGCCTCAGCCTCAGCCTCAGCCTGCCTCTGCCTCAGCCTCAGCCTGCTTCAGCCTCAGCCTCAGTCTGCCTTCAGCCTCGGCCTCAGCCTCAGCCTGCCTCAGCCTCAGCCTGCATCAGCCTCAGCCTCAGCCTCAGCCTGACTCAGCATCAGCCTGCTTCAGCCTCAGCCTCAGCCTGCCTCAGCCTCAGCCTCAGTCTGCTTCAGCCTCAGCCTCAGTCTGCCTTCAGCCTCGGCCTCAGCCTCAGCCTGCCTCAGCCTCAGCCTGCATTCAGCCTCAGCCTCAGCCTCAGCCTGCCTCAGCATCAGC